TATTTGACTCTTAATGTATCCTGAAGTACCACTAATATTTTTCTTCTTTTTCTGCTTTGCATATTTGGACTGTCTTCTTGGGCACATATTTCTGATGAATCTACCTCGATGCAGTTCACGCGATTCCTCTGTGATTCACCTCTGGAGGTATGTATTTGTTCTACATGCAAGTTTTGAAACGAATGTGTTCTTTCCTCTTCTCTCTCTGTAGACAGCAATGCATTAAGGTGTAGGTGGTATAGATGGTTGTCGCAATATTTGTAACATCACCAGCTGGTAAGGAAGATAGCACTGTGTTTTCAAAGGAATCTGAGGACTCCTTTGCTGGATAGTAAGTGAGATAATAAGCTAACACTGAATTCCATATGACTGCATTAAAAGACAGTAGCAGAAAGTGCTATGTCTTTTCAGTTCATTTATTTCTATGAAAGAGAAGAATGTGTTACTAAAGGACTTGATGCACTTGAATTTGACAACAGTCTGAGTTAAAAGTTTAGGAGAGATGCTGCTGCTTCATTTCAAGTGAGCAAACTGCTACGGATTTCTTGCACTGTCTTTCTTGTTGGTCTTAAAGAGTTAAGTACCGCGTGACTGTAATGAAATTGTCAGGTTATAGTAATTGCACTGGTAATTTGATATGTCGCAGTTTGACTGAATCCATGTGTGGAGAGTTTGTTGCTTTTCTCTGCTGAGTCCACTGGCCTTTACATTCCTGAAAACTGAAGAGTAATAGAGCTCATTAGACTTTATAGGAAAAGGGCTTTTATCACCTCATCAACTCGGGCAGCAGACTGCCATTATATTCTTAATTTTGTATGGCTATGTAGATGTTGATGCACACTTCCCTGCCAGGTTTATACCAGTATTGTTTCTTACAGACACTTTTTATTGACATTTTGAAGCTTGAATTAAATTTTGTGTGGCACCACTACAGATGTCTTCAATTAGATGAAGTTAAATAAAAGGGGTTGTGTATCAGAGGCCAGGAGATTCTTGAAATTCTTTATTCTGAAGCAGTTGCCATAAGCAAATCTAGTAGTGTGTAGTCTGTTTACTCTTTTGAACAAAAATAATTCAAAATAAAATTTAAGCCTTACATGCTCTCAATTTGTAATTTTTTGAATTTTTAATATTGTTGTTAGCTGCAAATAATATGAACACCCAAACTCTTCCTGTCTTTTTTTATTTCCTCATTTTATTATTCAGTTTAGTTTCTGTTTTGGCTATGGGCTCTGCACAAAAAATGAATTGTTTAAAAAAATTATACAATGTGTTAGCAGAAAACTAGGCAATTTTCTCGCAGTAGCCAGGTTAATGTAGAGAGAACTGTTTGGTGGTTTGTTTTTTTTCTTTTTTTATTATTCATTCTTTCGTCTTAGAAGCTGCATTTAAATATTTACCATTTTACCACTTCACATACACAAAGACTACCTTGTTTGGAGAGGTATGGTGATAATGGTTCAGTATAGGAGAATGGCACACAGGAGTCTTAGCCAAAAAGCAGTGTGGCCTGGTACCCTGTTGTTGCCAAGGCAAGAGTGTTTATGGAAGAAGGGCACAGGGAAAATCCGGGCTCCTCAGGCTGATCCCTAGTTTTTGGTGCTCAGTGAGTTAGGGGGGGTGTCCTGGGCCAGTGGTTGTATCGCCATCACTAATAATCATCTCTACGTTTGTCCTTCCCAAGTTGTTCCATGGAGTCTTGGTACAACAGTTGGAATGAGCCTCAGCACTCAGATGCACCATGGCATTACACAGTTGAATGATGATTTTGTTTTGTTTTGTTTTCAAATCCTTCTCTAATTGCTCTTTAGTCTTTCTCCATCTTGACTGATGCTAAGCACTAAATTGATGATTTCATAAAACTACTCGCAAAAGCATCTTTTTGAGAGAATTGCTAATTTATACCCATTGTTTTGAATGTGTGTATAGCAATATTTTTTCTGCCATGCATTTAGGTTCCATGCATTTATGTTCCATAGATTTATTTGATATTTCCTCTGCCTTTTTAATCACTCAGTATTATGGGATCTTTCTGTAGTTGTTTACACTCAGCTCTTGTTTAACCACCCTGACTACTTTTAAATCATCAGCTCAGGTTGCTGCAACATTGTTCAGTCTTCAGTAATTCACGTACCAGCAGGGAGAACGTACTAGATCCAGCATGATGGAAAGAGAGCTGCTTTCCGTTATATAAGTGATCGCTCATTCTCACTTTGTTTCCTATTATCCATATTGAGATGCTTTTGAATTCCAAAGAACTGAAAGGTGTTTGTGAATCTAGATCTTTGCTCTTCAAAAAGCACATCAGCTTCTGCTCTGTATTATTTTGTTTATTGATATGTGTTAATTTTTAGGAGATCTAATAACAAATGATACCTTTACAGGTCTGTAGTTCCCAGAGTCACCTTGTGTAGAATGTAGTATTTTAGTCATATTCAATGCACTGCATTTCGTTTAGAGATCTTGGCAAATTGCCTTTTATTTTTTTTTTTTTTTTTTGTCTTATGGTGGTGTAGACATCACCATGATGTCTACATGGTGATACTGAAAGACTCTTGCTACTGAAGTCTCTTCTACCTTCACAGCTTCGCTAATCTTTTTAGCATTTTAAGCTTACTATCACTGTCCTGATTAAATAGTTGACAGTACAGCTCAAATACTATACTTTTCCAGTAAGGTACAGAAGTTGACTCAATAGTCAGTGTTTTACATTTTGATGCAGTGAGTTGATTTACTTTGTTTTGATATGGAATCACAGAATTGTTCAGGTTGGAAAGGATCTCTTGAGATCACCTAGTCCAAGCCCTCTGCTCGAGCAGGATCAGCTAGAGCAAGTTATCCAGGACCATGGGTTTTGAATATCTCCAAGGATGGAGACTCCACAGGCTCTCTGGCCAGCCTGTGCCATTGTTTGACCACCTTCTCGGTTAAGACCTCTTTCCTTCTGTTCAGGTTGAATTTCATGTGTTTTAACCTGTATTCATTGCCTCTTTTCCTGTCAGTGGTAACTACTGAGAAGAATCTGGCACTCTTATCTTCACTCCCTCCTATCACATATTTCTACATATTGATAAAACCTCCCCATGTCATCTCTTCTTGAGGCTGAAGAGTCCCAGCATTCTCAAGCTCATCTTATACATCTTATACCCCTTAATCATCTTTATGGCTCTTAATGGACTTACCTGAGTAAGTCCGTATTTTTCTTGTGCTGTGGAGGCCGGCACTGGACCCAGCACTGCTGCTGCAGCCTCACCAGTGCTGAGCAGAGAGGAAAGCTCACCTCCCTCGACCTGCTGGCAGGGCTCTACCTGGTGCTGCCCAGGATGCTCTTGGCCTTTTTTTCTGCAAGGGTGCATTGCTGTTGTTTTTTTTTTTTATTTTTGGTTTCTTTTTTAGGAAAACATGCAGTGCTACCTCTCTGCTGACACAACCTATATTCGTAGGCTGCTTTCACAGCATCTCCAGTACTACGTCCTCCTTTCATTAGGGATTACTGAAAAGGAAATATGTTGCTGACCAAGAGATAGAAATCTACCATATGGTAGGTTGTGTGTGCCTTTGGGAAGGGAGCTGCTGGAATTAATCACTTCACTTATTCGGCAAATAATTTCCACTGAAGTGTAGAAGTTAAAGGTTTCCTGGCTTTTTTTTTTTGTAACTTTGTGTAAGGGGTAGCATGGATTTCATACCTTCCTCTTCCCTCCATCCACAGCAGAGAGTAAAATGGAAAAGTTCAAAATAGGAAATTTCATTAAATCTTCCAGAGACAAATAATCATGCAGTTAGTATGGTCAAGACCCATTTTTGGTAAGTGAGCATGCAGTGCCTTCTGCGGTTGTACGCTGGTCTGGCAGGTAGGTTAACAAGTGCAATTTCCATAATAATAAAGTAGTAAAACATCTCTTAAAAGTAAAGAGAAAAACCAATGTGTTTTGAAGAAAATTGAGTGCTTTCACCATCAATGAAGTTCAATTATAAGCAGTTATTACATTAAGATGTACTAATTGGGACAATATATTATACCAGTTGCTATTAAATATTTAAATTTTAATAATGTCCTATAAAATATGAGCGATCAAATGTATTCATGGAATCATTAACTAGCAGAATAAGAAGACAGGTAGAATTAACATGTGATGGAATATATTAAATTTTTTGTCTGCATTAGGGTCTAAACATTGGAGAGAAAACCATTTGTTTTAATTTTTGTCCTGGATTTAGTTGTTTGGTTTTTTTTTTATTTTTTTCAATATCATCAGATTATAGTAGTTCATTGTGTTGAAGTTTGAGTATAAATTGTTCATTTTAAATGAATTGGTCCCTCTGGATTGATTCCAGGGCGAAGGTATAATTTCGGGTACATAAAGTAAGCCCTTTATTGTGGGGCTTTCTCGCCTGATGTCTCTGGTATATTTTATGTCACCTTTGACAAACACTGTCTAGGTGGACATGTCAGTAGTGTGAAGTGGTATAACTTGCTTCAGGAAAATGTTTCATGTTCTAGACCTGTTTCACATCAGATTGCCTGGATGGTACTTGAGGAATCAGGTTAAAGGAGCCAAGTATTCATTGAGAAATTGGAGAAAACATAATACTTACAAGCATTACAAAGGATTACATTGTATGAAAACTTTTGAAGGAGGAGAAAAAAGTTACTCTTAAAAAATGTTATTTTCTTAATGTAATGGAGATCCCTGAACATTTTGCCTGAAAACAGTGCTGTGCTTATTATGTTTGTTACAGAACATAGCCTCTTTTATGTTCATGACATTTCATTGTAATTGCATTAGTGAAATAACTGTAGTTTATACTTTACTAGAACTTCTTAACTGATACTAATACTTCAGTTTGCAGAGGTCCGGCGACCGAACCTGTGCAATGCCGTTTGGAGGTTTGGGGTCACACACAGACACAGCATTCGTTTAACTTCAGAAGACTTTGCTTTGAATGAAAATCTTTTCCATGTTAGCTTAGACTATCAATCCTACATGATGAGTTTTTGACAAAGAAAGAAAATCTCTCTTAACTGAAACTTACTTAAGCAAGTCTGTGTTATATTACCAATCACATTTCCCCTTGGCTTGCAGGAGATGTTTCATGTTTTCTGTCCCTGACTGCACCCTGGTAACTGAGAAGAGAACTTAACCTGTGCTGAGAAATCCTTAGAGAAAAACTTGTACTTGACTGTGTCCCAGCTTAAAAGTTTTACTACTGACCATGTGATTTCATTTGGCTGCACTGAAAAGTTGAGGATTGTTGTATGAAACTGTAACTGTTGAATAAGTAGGTTTTACCTGAATGAGAAGAAACTCAGTTTAATAGGCTAGTATCAGAGTCTAATATCCTCGTATACTGCAGGTTGAGCTCTCAAATGTTTGATTGTTTCACTTCTGTGGTATTTGTAGCTCCATATCTAGTTTTATGCCTTATAACTATATAAAAATGCAAACATTTTATTATATGGCCTTTATTTTGGGACTTACTGGTTGGCTAAGTCAGTTGAAATTATTTTTGTTCACGTGATTGATTTCTTTTGACACATGTGGTACCAATTAGAATAACTTCTACTACCCATCATCTCTTCAGTCTGTGCTACTGTATCAAAATACTTGATTAAACCCACCTTCTGTTGTTGTAATGCAAAACAGTTGGTAATAGTAGGCAATATTGTCAGATTTATTGAGTGAGAAGCAGCTTTCTGAAGATCTGGCAATGCAGTGAAAAACAAGACTAGATGGATAATTAAGTTGAGCACAGTGGAATTCAGGATTAAAGTAAACTTGACGTGGGAGAAAATGGTATGCCAAAGTTGGTTGTGTAATACAGTTTAAATTAGGAGATCATTTTCTTCTTAATTTGAAGCATCAGTTTCTGGCTCTAGGTGCTTTACCCCATCCGGAGACATACTTCACTGCACGTCCAAAACCACAGCGCACAACAATAGCAAGTTCCTTAGTGTTTTTGCAGAAGATACTCAATGTGGGCTGACAAAGAAGTTGTTCCACAAATTTTGTTGCAACACAGAGTTTCAGGTTCTTAGATAAAAGATATGTCATTGGTCATAAAGAGTGAACTGTATAAAGAGTAAACCTTGCATAAAGCGTAAGCTGTTCAGTTCTCTTTATAAAATGTTCTTCTCAAGCAACTTTAATGGCCGCTCTGAGAAACTGAATGTCTGTGGTCAAAGTGCATCCAGTACTTGGGGGCATGGGGGAGAGAAACAGTAGGGCCCTTGCTGTGACAGAAAGAGTTGGAGGAAGTCGGCAGTCACAGCCAGCTTTGGGAAGCACGGGCATAGTGAAGTGTCTGCATTCCACCTTTGTGCCTTTGGGCTTTCTCTCTTGTTGAAGAGTAAATAGGTCAAATTAAAGAGTATCTGCAGAATTTGTTTGCATGTAATAATGCTTTAATAACTTGATGAATGATGTTGTTTTATCATGTCAGTACTATAAATGCTAGATGGCAGAGGCTATTCGCAGGTTCATGTTTGGGGTGCGTGATATGTAGAGTTTACCGCTCGTGAGTACAGCAGAGGTCACAAATGATACAGTGAACTAAGATTGTTCTCCCTGCTTCTCAAATTCCTTTTTTCCTCTTTCTAAACAGAGGTAGCAGGAGTAATTTCTCCCTGTATTTACTTTTGTATTAAAATTCCTTCTAGAATTGTTTTTATACTCAAAGTCTACCTGCCAGACAACTACATCCCTCTTTATTTTTTGCTTAGGCAGAGAATGCGCCAAATGGACCAGAATGTGGCTATGGTTCTTTCCACCAGCAGTATTGGCTGGATGAGAAGATAATAGCTGTTGGTGTAATTGATATCCTGCCCTACTGCGTGTCCTCCGTCTATCTGTACTATGATCCAGACTATTCTTTCTTATCTTTGGGAGTCTACTCTGCATTACGGTAAGAGGACATTTTTGTTATCTGATTAGACGTAATAGTAAGAATTGATACTTTTTCCTATACTTGAGCTTTTGTTTCTAGTCTAAACATATACAGGTAACACTATCTCTAGCAAAGTATATCTGTATGGTGTGTTGTGGTTTCTTTTTTTTTTATTTTTTTAAATTCTCTACGGTTGGTTGCATTCCAAATAAATTTTAATTGTCATCCTTGAATAGCAGGGATGTATCTTTCTAGTTAGCTAAATACTTCTAAAGATTAAAAAAACACTTAGAAATGAAATACCTAGTTTTTCTTCCCCCTGACAATAATTTAGTATTGCTTCGTTTCAGGAAAAACCCCTTTTTTGTTTGAATAGAAATAATTTTCCTTTGACCTTTTTCTTAGCCCAGTGAAATCAATCACTTTTATAGTTTTATGCACATTGAGATCATAAATAATGAAGTACCTGAAAACCGTTGTCCTCAGAATTAGTAGTCTCCTGCTGTATTAGCATTAAGTATATTTTTCAGGTATGTTAATGTCATTGTCTTTGTCTTTAGAAAGCCTGATGGAGAGACTAATCCTGTGACTTTTAAAGCTTTAAATTAACTATCAACCTAGTCTTGCAAAAGAGTAGGAATAGTGAGTAATGTTTTTCACTGTGAATAAGACTTGTATGCTAAATTACAAGTTACTATTTTTCTTCCTTAAGCAATTTTATTATTCCATTATTATTACATGGGGAAAAAAAACATAAACGAGTGGAATATTTGTGCATCTCAATTTTTTTTCTCAGCTTTTTTGCTTCCCTGTTTACATGAAGTAAACTGGCCACAGATATATGGTGTTCCCAGGGAGGTTCTCATGAAGCAGCTGGGTTTGAACCTCATGCCAGACACGTCTATTTTCAAATGCCCCTGGGTCTGAGAAGTTCTATCGAAAGTCTTTACCTGTTGAGATTTGCATTGCACTCTTTCAGGTGTGAAAGAAGCGCTAGAATTATGAGATCCAGTTTTCTTCTTTTCCAAGGCATCCTGTTGAGAGGCATCTTGTCTATAGGTGGACCTTCTTAACTATTATTTAGTGTTACCCACCAGGATGGGTAAATGTGACATGACTTTTGAAATATGTAAAGTACAAACAGTATTTTAGGAAACCTCTTCTTATCATGGTTACTTCATATACTTTTGCGATAACTAATAAACCATGTGCAATTTAATCTCTCAAGTCTAATCACTCGTAATTTGTTTAGATTTTAATTAGGATCTTTTGATTTCCTAAGAATTAATATTTTTTTTAATCTTCCTTTGGGTGCATTCTTTTCTTTGTAGTGGTGAATTTTGTGTTTTCTGAATAATCTTTACACGAGTTTTTTCCAAATGCATATGTCAAAGGGTTCTTCCCCACAAAGTTCACTGTTAAGTTTCTGACATCAGTCTAACGGTTTATTGCTGCTGAAATGAGGTGTTGCAATCACTCCTCTTCATCTCTGCTATATGCTGGGCTTCTAGCAACCATATATTTAGCCAGTTCATTTTACTTGAGAAGAAAACTGTTTGCTTTAACAGTCAGTGGCACTGGCGATTCTATAAAATTAATCAGAATTAACAAATGTAGAAAAAATGTTGGAACTCCTATGATTTAGAATTGATCTTTTTTCTGTCTATTAGTGGTCTAGATTTCTAGAAGTACATATGCTAGATGCTTGAAATTAGACTTTTTTTTTTTTACATGCAAGATGAGCATATAACATAAAATACTAAGTCCTCCTAAGAGTTGTTTTTTTAGTATTTGTACATATCACATTACTTTATGTAATAATAGACTGACATAATCCATGCTTATGAATTCTTGAAATGATTTTAATTTTTCTACATAATAAATTTAAAACTTTGTTGGTGCAACATGCGTATGTGGCTGATCTAGTGAAAAAGCAGCTTATAAATTCTGCAGCATTTAAGGCAATAAAAATGAGTTCCCAACAGTCTTAGAGGGAGCCAACCTTCTTCTTTCAAAAAGGGGCTAAAAAAAACCTGAGAGTTAGGGAGGATTTAGGAAGTTGCAAAGGAATCTGATACCTTCAAAGCTGTTGCCAATTTTACTCCGGGGAGGTTAAACTGCATTGCAGTGCTGTCACTTCCACTTCATGCTACTTTGAGAATTTTTGCTGCTGAGTCGTAGAAAGGATGGGATTTGAAGGTCGTTTGAAATACGTAGGCCTGTAAGTAAAGAATGAGGGGAGAAGCTACTTATGAAACACCAGTCTCAACAAAGGAGTATTGACTGATTCTTACTTGCAGGAAAAAGTTATATCTTCCCCCTATGACCTAAGATCACGAATAGCAGACAAGCATAGTATTCATAATCTCTATTTAGTAGGAGGACAAATACTTGAACTTCTTTTGGAATTGGGTTATGTAGTACCGAAATACCAAGTCTGAATTTTGTATTGATGAAATGAACATATGTCTTCCTCACTAGTTGACTACTCTCACGAAGCGCGAACAGCCGTTATAACTCTTCAGATATGCACCATAGCCGAAAGCTTTACAAAAAGGTAATTGCAAGCCTGTAGTCCCCCTTCCACAGGAAAGATACAGGCAGAAAGAATGCAGGTAGATGTGTGTTATGCCATACTATGACGCCTCATTGCTGTTCCTGGTGTAAAATGATGGAGTTGGAGGATTCTCTTGCATTGGATCATGGCACACGATCCTGAAAAGTGGAAAGAGAAGGATGTTTTACCATCCCCTCAATAAAACTTTGTGTGGAGTGAGGTTGGCTGAATAGATAAATGGAAGATAGAACTTGAATTAAGGGTCCTTATGTAGGGCATATCACTGGAGACTGTAGTACATGCGAAGACACTGGCAGTAGTTCTGAGCAAGCTACCGTTGGTATCACATGCACTAATTCGCTTGCACAAGGCCTTGTTGCCTATGGTAAGACTTGCTGCTTCAGCCCAATTTTTATCTCATTACATTGTGGTCTATTCACTTTCTGTTCACTTTGAGTCGTTTTGTTTTCATAAAATCATAGAATGTTTTGGTTGGAAGGGACCTTAAAGCTCATCCAGTTCCAACCCCTCCGCCATGGGTGGGAACACCTCCCACCAGACCAGGTTGCTCAAAGCCCCATCCAACCTGGCCTTGAACACTTCCAGGGATGGGGCAGTCACAGCTTCTCTGGGCAACCTCTGCCGCTGCCTCACCACCCTCACAGTGAAGAATTTCTTCCTAATATCTATTCTAAATCTTCCTTCTTCCAGTTTAAAGCCATTTCTCCTTGTCCTATCACTCCATGGCCTTGTCAAAAGTTCCTCCCCAGCTTTCTTGTAGGCCCCTTTTAGGTACGGGAAGGCTGCTCTAAGGTCTCCCTGGAGCCTTCTCCTCTCCAGACTGAACAACCCCAACTCTCTCAGCATGTCCTCACAGCAGAGGTGCTCCAGCCCTCGGATCATCTTCGTGGCCTCCTCTGGACTCGCTCCAACAGGTCCATGTCCTTCTTGTGCTGAGGACCCCAGAGCTGAAGGCAGTACTGCAGGGGGGTCTCAC